ATACCTTTCAAAAATTCTAATAAACCCTATTGATAATAAACCCTAGTGTTAATCAACCATTGAAAGGGTTGATACCATGCCAATAAACCCTTTGAGGGTTTGCTACTAAAAAAACAAGGACAAGCGTTCATCATTCTGCGGATTTTTTTTTCAGTGTACGGTCTCTAGGTAAAAAAAACAGTTTGAATTCATCCTTAAAAAGTTACGAAAATTTTGCGATGGTGATCCAAATGACTAAAAATATGGTTAGAGGACTGTAGGCTTAGCAAATCTGTTAGCCTGCAATATCTTGTTTAAAACTAAGAAAATATTCCAATTTTCATATTAGCTTGCCATACCATTTCATTCCATTTGTTTCAATCACAAAACAGAAACAGCAACATTATATACTTCGAACATTTCTAATCATCGAAATACGATCAACAATATCTAAATATAATCGGACATTTCAAATGGTAGGCTGTTTATAAAAATCCTTGGAGACTAGACATCAAATTAAGGATGATGACGATGAATAAAATAATAAGTTAGCATTCACAATTGGGCAGCTGAAACTGTATCTGAGTACCTGTATTTACAGAAAATTGTACTCTGCTGTAACCTATTTCTTATAAACATCGGTTACTCATTCCTGTCTCAACAACATCTGACTAGACATTCCAACATGTTGATTCACGCCGATATTTTAAAATTATGTTCGTTCGAATTCTAACGTTATTGTACGAAAAAAAAGGTTGCTCTTTGCAGAGAAAATTATATTAACCCTTGACAACCGACTGTCCGTTCCATTGGGCATTCTGGAAAGGACTTTAAAAAATATAACAACACTCAAATTTAGTAACGAATAGTTTTTCAGATTAGGGTAGTTTGATAGTCTATGGTTTAGAAAACAAAACGTTTTTAGATAAAATTTCAAGAAATCAATTCATTTTTTAAAACTTCAATTTTTTACAGTTAACATGCTTTTGAAGAATTACTGTATTAGTGGATAAGACGTACACCTTTCTTTTCGTGATTGTTTGTGGTCAGCATTATCTCGAGATATTTTATCAAGCCGACCTCTAAAATTCAAAATCATCTGTTGATACGATATAATGTCGGCAAAAAATGTTCCTGATCAGAGACATTTGGTCATAACGGCATGGAATACTGCATCCATGTATAATGATGTGCATGGGTGTGATTATGTATGTTAATGTTAATGTTCAAGACAACCGCCCACACCCATAAGCACCATAAATTTGACGTATACAAGAGAATTCATGTATCGAAAATCAATAGGATGAAAATCACACCTAACTAGACGGCATTTAGCCATCCGTTTACATAGTCACTAAAGTTCGGCACTGACGAGCATAGCGCGCTGCTCTCACCGTATTTGACCATCATTTGATAGACATCAGCCACGGTCTTGCTCTTCGTTTCTAATTGTAGTGCTAGATCCTTCAATTGATTCATAAGCTTATTGTCGCCACAAACAGAATAGTCCAATCGTTTGATCTTATCAACATGTATGCTTGCGACGCATAGCTGTTGCAAAAACTTAAATACGGGATCTCCACCAAACGCACCGCAGCCCCACTTGCCCGTGACAATAATTTGATCATTGGCTTTAGCAAAGGCACCCCATGCTTTGTTTAAATCGTGATCGATATTGGGTCGTGTGTAGTAGTCACCAGGGCACGCATCCATGACAAGAATATCTTGAATACAACCCGGATTTGGACCCGAATACGAGCCAGCAAATTGAAACGATTCACTATCAAAGCCACGATAGTCAACGAATCGTTTGCATCCACGAAGAATGACCACTTCATCGGGTTGTAATGTTTCACAAGCCAAGATGGCCAAAAGTGCTTCGGGACAACAGCTGACTAGAAAGGAAAAGATAGAAACTTGCGAGGAATTGCTTCAACTATTCACATAAAATTTCTTCTTGAGTGGCAGATGGAAAGATCATATGGATGTGAATTTGTTTGTTGGCAAAGTCGACAAAACCTTGTGCTTCTGTAGCATCTTCCATTCGCCCGACAAAAACGTTCACTTTGGATGCATTGATTGCAATAGTTTGTTTTTCCCAATCTGGCTGTTCATCAGCATACAAGTACCGTTCGATTGATATTTCTCGTTGATCATCACTGCCGTTTTGATGTGACGAGCAACGAAAATATTCGATCAAACATCGTATACGTTCCATGGCCAGGTTGTCAAAGAGAGAATTGTACAAAATGGTCAAATCAATATTGCCGTATCCTTTTGTTGTGTTGAGAAAGAATGCGTTGGCAAGGATATAACGTGCTTGGGCTGCTGTATAAGTGACACGAGCAGTTGCACCTGCATGAAGAGGCTTGATTGAATTCGATAGACGTGTGTGATCGGAAGCCCATTGCGCGATAGTAGGAAGAAGTTCATAGTAAAAATCAAAGTCGAGCTGATGAATGACCATGTCGAGATTGGAACATCGTCGATTCTTTTCTTCGTTGATAGACATGAGACCAATAAGCGTTTGAAAAGTGACATTCTCTTGTGGAATGATAAATTTTCGCTGTTGATCAGCAATGTAAGTCGTCGTTGTAGTTGTCGACATGTTTTTTATTGAACGGCAAAGAAAATGTGCACGTATTAGATCGTAGTGTATCAAAACAAATAAAAAAACAGAAAATTTGTTTGTGAGCTTGAAGATCGGGATAAGCTACTGTGATCGTCTATTCCTTTGTTCGTTCCTACTCTCCTTCTGTTGTTGCACAGTATTCCCTAGACTGAAAGGATAGGGTCTAGAAACCGTAATTCACCTGTGTCTGTCTGTCTGTAGCAATGGCACAATGGGCATTATTACGGCACAAACCATGGGTGAATGCATGACATAGTCACGTGAAACAGCTCGCTCTAGAGATCTGGTCAGTGGAGCGGGCGAGCTAACACCATCACGAAATCTCTCAACCATGTATTTTTGTGGCTAGGTAAGACTCAGCCTCTTCTCCGCCTTAAGGATGTTTGAGTCTCATTCTCTCCGTCTTTCGTCTTCACTTTTAGTGCTTTTACTTAAAACCTTTAATTTTCGTCTAATTCTTACCTCAGTTTCACTTATTCCCACCCCCTTTACAAGTCCGTTTGAAAATATCCTCACCAGCTGCAGCGCTAAGACAGATGTTTGCAGGGCAAATGGTCGCGGACACATCGTTGTAATATATCTCAGAGTTTAACATTGTTAATCCGGAAATCAACTCGAAGAATTTACACTATGAACTTTGATATTATAGTTTCTATCCTAGTGCCCAGAAAGCTCCCAGTAAGGGTATCCATATGAGTATACGTGAATATATAAAAGATTCATAAGCCAGCAAGCAATTCGGATTCCGAATCAATAACACGGCTACAGATATCGTGCACTCCTGATAATACCCAGAACTTAAGCTTGTACGGAAAACCACGTTTCAAACCCAAGACGTGACAGCCACATCCGAGCAACAGCCTGAGCATTATCTACACCAGCACCCACACCCTCAGATAGTTACTTCAAAACAAAACAAACACGAAGAAAGAAAAATTGATGTGAAAAGTATGGTTGTTGTGCAAAACGAATAGAGGACTCTTGCTTTTACTTTATCGCTTCAATGAAGGACAATAAGTGCATGCAAAGATTTTGTTTTTGGCAAAAAAAATACCCGCATGTGTTAAGGAGCGAACGTGAAAATGCTGCTGTCTCACGTAAAAATAATAATACAAAAGCCGTTTTTAGTGCTCTACTACGTTCGAATAATGGTGTGATTCAATGTTGTTTTGACGAAGATAATAGAAAACATGTGCAAAATTGTCCTATCTGATCTTTTACGACGATTAAAATTAATCATATTTATTATCCCATTGTTTCAAAGAGCAATATAGGATCTCAACCTTTCAGCAGTAGTAGGCCATAATTGTCGTTAATATGGCAAAGGCTTTGCTACAAAATAAGTACCAATGACAAAAGTATTGGGAATCATATTTTTGGTGTAGCTTTTGATAGAAACAAGATAGAGAGCTGAGGTTGTCATCGTTGGAAAGTGGATATAAAAACGCATTAAATCGTACGTTACAGAGTTTTTGACCTGGTTCTTCTAAGGCTTCCAATTGAGCTTTTTGAAAAACAACATACTCGTAGGTGTGCACAGTGAATTTTCAATCGCCAGTTGTGCATTGAAGCCGCCTATTGGAGATCTATAAAACTTCGCAACGCTCATATTTTTACTTTCAATCGTTCAAGAGTTATAAGTATTCTAGGAACTCAAGGTTGATCCAAAGTTGTCAAACGCAATCCCGATAACATAATACTAATTCTGAAGTAAAATCAGCCGATTACGTGATCCAACTACATCGAGATAAGTAAAACAGACACTGTTACTTCCTAAGGAATAGTGAAGTAACGCGTCTTAGATATTCTTTCAGTGGCGTTGGCATGCTATCGTATTTCTGAGTGCGTTTCAGAGGCGATTCTACTGTAATAACTTTTGCTCTAGGATGGTTAATCAAGCGATCGAAATCGTCAGCTTACATATACTTTATTTAACTAAAGTTCGTTAGACTTTTTAATACAGAATGTTCAGATGACGTTAAAATAGACAAAAATTTAATAAAATATAAGACATATCATCAAGGGGGAAAAGCGGCCTCTGGCGGCTCCTGATGGATTCTAGAATCCACCAGAATACATAGAATCCATAGAATTCGCTAGGATCCATTTTGATTAATGAGTTTATCTCAATATTTTAAACAATTTGCAGATAATTAAGGTGAACAGTGAGACTCATATATGTAGGATCTATGATTTTCATCGTGTTTTGAAAAAATTACGACCGTGACCATTCATTTTTTCAAACCCAGGACGAACATTACAGTGGCCGTAAACAGCCGTGCACGATACCGCAAACGGCCATAACCGTCAGAGTTACGACCGTATACGGGCCGTAAAAGACCCGTTTGGTATGCCCCGTATCTTAACATACACAGACGTTTACGACCACCAAGACTACCGTACATCAAAGTAAACGACCGTTTTCCATTCGTTATTCTCGATGATTTCACCTGCAAATCAAACAGATTTCATTCGGATTTCTAAACGATTTTATTTGGATTTGACATGGATTTCATTTAGATTTCAAAAAGATTTTATTCAGATTTCAAAAAGATTTCATTTGGATTTCAAAAAGATCCCAAAAACGATTCCACTTGGATTTGAGAAAGATTACATTTCTGGGTTAATAAGACAGTACCTTTCGACTTGAAAATCAAGTGGTTTCTGCGAGAGTGGGAATTCGCTGGAACATAAATAGGGATTTAAGGGAAAACCGGAAAACAAACTGAATCGTGGATATATTACTTGACTTGAATCAGGAAAGTCGTCAAACAAGAATCGACTACAAGAACTCGAAGATAAATCTGATTTCGGCTTTTAAATCTATCCCTCAACTAAAGAACTAAAAGCGAAGGAAAATCAGCCTATATATAGAAGTTCTCGTGCGAAACAAAAAGGTGAATGATTGCGCGACACGAAATCGGAGATAAATCAGATTTCAGATTTCGCATTTAAAATCTAACCATGAATTGAATAACTAAAAACGAAAATAAATCTTGAGGGCGTGGTTGTGGGTGTGAGAGTCCGAATGTGGATTAACGGAAAATTGTGGTTTTACCCAGATCCACCCACATCCACACCGTCAAGATTTTCAATGGCGCCAAAAAGTTATCAAAATCAGTAAAAATCATGAGAAATCAGTAGAAATAATTAGAAATGATCACAAATCATCCGGATTTTGTGGTAATCGATAGAAACTTTAAGAAATCAAAGAAATCATGTGGAATCGGGCTAATTTACTTGAAACCTTTCAGATCGTTTGAAATGATTTCGAATGATTTTCAGCTATTTGAAATAATCCCTTTTGTTTTCTGATGATTTCCAATGATTTCCAATGATATCCATGATTTCTACTGATTTCGATGATTTCGTCCGATTTCATGCGATTTCGATTGATTTCGCCTATTGAAATCAGTTTGTTTCCCCCTTGTTATCGCATATTCTGAATGTCGTTTACAGTCGCCGTATTTTCGCGGTAGTCGTAAAAGGCGAAAGTTTACGGTCAGTGTTTACGATTAACGTAATACGCNTGGTAAAAAATAGTCTAGTGGCTCTGAACACTAGAAAGATATCAAAAATAGCAAGAAACAAAAATATGAAATCACAGGGTTAAACTAATATAACTTGAACGACGACTAGAATGTTAGATGGACATAATAACAATGATAATGATAATTTAATATCGGAACCAAAATGAGAAAAAAAAAGAAAGTTTTAGTAAAGTGCCATGAGCATTTGAAAAACAAACGAAATATCGATGAATATCATCTGAACGTTTTTCGATCATCTTTTATTAGAGGATCTATGTGTTCGTCGATCATTAATGAAGCGGTTGTAATGCGAAGTTGTAAATAAATGGTCGATTCGATGTTGATAATCATTAATTTGTGATGAATTTCGCATTCCAATATGTATTGATCGTTTTCGAGTAGCTGATGAAGTAGAAAAATTGACCGCCGAAAATGGAACACCGTAAGATTTAATAATTTCTTTAATGTTTTTGATTGTAAATCGACGATCAATATTAGAAATAATAATTTCAGTTTTGTAGTAGCGTTTACGTTGTTTCAAAGTACATGTACGATTATGGATACGGTGACGTTCTGCTTTTGTTAATGTTTGTTGTTGTCGCGGTGTGGAAGCGTCTTGAATATCAGCTGGGGATATTGGTTCGAAATTGTTTGTTGCTTGTAAATCATGTTGATCATCATCGCATGCTATATTTGTTAAATCATTTACTGTAGCTGTAATTATTTCATTCGATGGATTAATATTTGATTCTTGACGTTCGATAAGTTTTAATTTAAGCATAATTTGTTGCATCGACAGACAATCATATACAGCATAACGAATTAATGATTGACGATGTTCAGTTTCAGCTGAATTAAAATGATACAATGTGGGGTCGAGACCAATATCAAAATTTGATGTTGTTTGACGCTTATCCAACCATTGAGATAATTCGAATGCCACGGCGTTTTGTAATGACCAGGTATTCGTCTTTTGTAAACCTAGACATTCTTCACATATACATTCAGGATAATTTGTAGATGTTGACGTTGTTGGTTGATGTGGATGTTGTTCATTCCAATGATCTTTAAATTCATTCTGAAGATTAATAGGATTACATAAATATAATTGCTCATATGTAAATAAATTATATGAACAAAAATTATGCAATTCGCTGATAGCTCCCCAAATAAAGATATTTTTATCAGTATTGAATAATGTTTGGAAAAATTGTTTAACTAATGTAAATGTATGTTCATGTGCCCGAGGCAAGTGACACATTTCGATCAGTACAACAGAGGAGAATGATTCTGATAGAATAATTTGTACTTGAATCAATGCTGGTGCATTTGGTCGATATGGAATAAGTATGGATTCTGTATCGAGTGTAAAGACGGACGTTGATTTAATTTGATCGATGAGATGAATTAATGTTGAGTCAGTTGTTCGAAAATTAATAAAATATTGTTCGAATTTTAATGGTTCAAAAGGCGGGTATTTTGTAGCCAATTCATGTTCATGGAGTTTTTTCTTAAACGTAGTTCGAAGATTGTGTCGTTTTTTTCCGGTAATGGTTGATGGAATGTGGTTAATTTTCCATAATAGATCTTCATATTCGCGCTGAGATAACATCACTATAATGAAAAATAAATAAAGATAATAAATGACGATTCGCTAGTTAGTGAATCTAATATTATAGTGGTCGATTCTCACAGAAAGAGGAATCTATCTAGTGTTTATCAGATGGGATCTGTATATTAGTTTCAACTATTTGGGAAGGAAAACAAAAATTTTAATAATAATAATAATAATAATAATAATAATAGTGTTTATTAGTTTGTATTTTATATCTCAATGAAATAACTAAGTGATATATCTTTCGCGATTCTCAGTGCTCGAGATGAGTATCTAGGAAAAATAATTGAATAATATTTCATTTAAATTTTAAAGTTTTTCATAGAATAATTAATTTTTTAATGAATGTGTTCAAATCATTATAACAGCCCTTTACAATCAGTGAATTGAGGACATTCACATTCCCCGATCATACTATGCTAAATTATAATAAATCAGATTGTTCAATCAATAATCAATTAATTCATTAATTTGAGATATAAATCATAATACGGAGCTCTTTATGAGAGGTCCTAATCTAATAAATTCGTTCGAATATTGGTAGTAACACGTCTGTCGTAACT